TGCATTTCAGTTCAAAAAACTTGGCATTAAGAAACCTTAGCTACAGAGGATAGTTTTGAAATAAGTTGTTTTTTATAAGAATCCCTAGATATTTTGTGGAATTATTTTGACAAATTATTACAGCTCATTTTAGTGGCTTTAAAAAAATCCAGGCTATGATTGAATGATTTTTATAGTTGATATTGAGGTAGCACAGTTTCTTACCTTCAACATTTCCCTCCAAAATGTAAGTTTGTACTTAATTACATTTCCTTTCATGAAATATGAAATTCTTTGCTCAGGGATAGAATTACTAAACCCCAAACTAAACTGAAATATTCCCCAAACAGATCACTGTTGGTGCCAAAGGGTAGCAGCAGCGTGTAGTGGTTGGCAGATCACTCCCCCCCCTTTTATAGTAGGAGCTACCACCCCACCCACTTGTCCACCCCACCTGCCTGCCACACCCAACCCCTTTATACCTCCTCTCTTTATACAACTACACAACTTTTAGCAGACATCTGAAGGTAGCCCTGTAACAGGAAGTTTTTAATGTTCAATGTTATATTATGTTTTAATATGTGTTGGAAGCCACACAGTGGCGGGGGCAACCCAGCCAGATAGATGGGTGGGCTGTTACTACTATCATCTCAGCAGACCTCCCAGTCACAGCTGCTACTGTCATTTTAAACAGCAGGCTTGTCTCCCCTTTCCCTCCCTAGCAGCCATGGTGGTGGCAGCAGCATTGGGTGGAGGGCGGGAGGCGAAGTGGAACTTTCCCCCTCTGCTGCCCCTCCCCTATCACCTATGACAGCGACGGGGAACATAGAAATGCTTGCAAAGTTTGCACCATACTGATCCTTTCAGTCTTGGAAATCACTGATTGAAAGGCTCAGTGTGGGTCACCTTCATCTCATGCCACCACCACTGTAAATCCAGTGGCTGGCTTGTCTGAACTGGCTGCTCACTCAGGATGCCTGCCCACTTCTGGGGACACCCACCCACTACTGGCCTGGGTCACCCATCTCCTTCCTCCTTGGTCTCGGATGCTGCCATGACGGCACAGCAGTTCTTGGGCTAGTGTGTTGTCATGGTGCAGTTTGCAGTACCACCAATCAGCAACCACACAAACTGCTGTGGGATTATATTCTTGCAATGTTATGTATGAGGGGAGACCACCCCTGCTTGCTTGGTTTGCCAACCCCACCCACCTGCCACACCTTGCAGTCCCTGATCAACCCATCCCCTCATAGTTCCTTCAGTTGCACACATACACCCTGAACATTTCCCTAAACCCAACATTTAACTCAGGAATTAGGCCATTATCTTAGGATCTGGTTACCTAAAGATCCTCTGCAGAACCTCCTGTGGAATTTCATCTTACAACAACAAGGAAGAGGACCTTTTCTGTTGTGGCACCCAGTCTTTGAAACAGCCATCTCCCAGAAGATATGTACCAAAAGTGATGCAGTTTTGGCACATTCTGAAAACACTTTATGTACTAAGGATATCGTACCCCCCCCAAAAAAATGGTGTCCTCCAAATGCTTCAGACACAATTTGCATGCTTCCTGGCCAAGGCTGATGATTTGTAGTCTAAAACATCAGCATGGTTTCAGGTTGGAAAAGACTGCTCAGTAGAAAAGAAAAGGGCCCAGCTCTCTGGCAGTGCTAGTCTGAGGACTTGGATTTATGAAAGCCTAACCTACACTTCCCAGTTCCACTCAAGACATCACTTAGCAGTTGACTACTGATCCCTGAATTCTCGTGTGACCATCTAATTACTACTGCAGTACACCCACTTATAGTCAACATTCAACTTTTGATGTGTGTTTGTTGTTGTTGTTTTTTAAAAAAAAAAGCACCAAAAAAACCAGTCAATCCTTCCAGTTATTTGCTGGAGTCTTTTCTTCATTTGCCATTGGTCATTTTTCAAATACTCTAATTCTCTTAGACTCTTTGAACTCAAACACGATCTCACTGGGAACTCAGCCTGATTAGCTCCCTGGTTTTGGCACCAATGTCTGTAGCCACTCAAGCCATCATTGCCCCTTGAGTCTTGCTGTGGCAAAGGAAATCCTGCCGCCTTTTGGAAAAACTTACTCCTGGCTCCATTTGCCATTGTTTTCAGACTACAGTGATACCTCAGTTTACAAACAACCCTGTTTACGAACTATTCGGTATAAGAACTCTGCAAAACCAGAAGTAGTGTTCCGGTTAGCGAACTTTACCTCGGTCTACAAACGGAAGCTTAACAGTGGAAGGGCACCGGCAGCAGGAAGCCTCATTAGAGAAAGCGTGCCTCGGTTTAAGAACAGACTTCCAGAATGGATTAAGTTCATAAATCGAGGTACCACTGTATAAAGAAAAGATACGTTGCTCCCCCTTTTAACAGTTTACTCACCCACTTTCCAATTACCATCTCATTTCTCTGCCTTTCTCCCCGAATGCCTCCTTTGCCTCACACATCTCACAACTCATCCCTTCACCATCCCTTGCTTTTATTATAATGAATTCTATTTTGTGGAACAGCCTTCAGTAGTTAAATTGTGAATTGCTTTTTGTTTCACATTCTCAATAAAACTTGTTCCCTGGGGAAAAATCTGATTCTGTTTTTATTTCCTGTGAGTGCCTTATAAGGTTGCTTTGCTACTAAAATCATAAGTAATACACACCAGTATTTCAGCAAACCTTTCTGACCAAAGACCATCTGCAGGCATAAATAGAGCCATAGTCACAAAGGGGCCTCTACTGCTACAGTCAAATTTGTCTTCTACCTTCCAAAAATTATTTTGCCCAAACAAAGGGCGGTTGTGCCTGTCCTGTGGAACACCATTCCCTCAGATCTCAAGGAAATAAAGAACTACAGTGGTACCTCGCAAGACGAACGCCTCACAAGACGGAAAACCCGATAGACGAAAGGGTTTTCCGTTTTGGAGGCGCTTCGCAAAACGAATTTCCCTATGGGCTTGCCTCGCAAGACGACAGCCCATAGGGAAATCTCCGGGACAGCGGGGAAGCGCAGCGCGTCTTCCCCGCTGTCCTTGGACCTCCTCCAAAGCCTGGCGGCGGGGGGGGACACCTCTCGCCGCCGCCGGGCATCGGAACGATGCCCCGATGCCGGGCGGCGGGGCGGGAACCTCTCCCCCCGCCGCCCAGCATCGGAACGATGCCCCGATGCCGGGCGGCGGGGCGGGAACCTCTCACCCCGCCGCCCGGCATCGGAACGATGCCCCGATGCCGGGCGGTGGGCGGGAACCTCTCCCCCCGCCACCCGGCATCGGAACGAGGTCCTGGACCTCTTCTGAAGGCAGGCGGGGGCAAAAGTCTTTGTCCCCCCTGCCTGCCTTCCCAGGGGCTTTTAAATCGCCCCGGACAGCGGAGAAGTCCTCCGCTGTCCCGGGCGATTTTAAAATGCCGCCCGCCAGCATTTTAAGATCGCCCCGGACAGCGGAGACGTCCTCCGCTGTCCCGGGGTTTTTTAAAATGCTGGGGGTGGGAAGAAAGGCCCTTGTCCCCCCCCCAGCCTTCAGAAGAGGTCGGGGGACAGACTGTCCCCGGACCTGGTCTGAAGGCGGTTTCCCTAGGAACGCATTAATTGATTTTCAATGCATTCCTATGGGAAACCGTGCATCGCAAGACGAAAAACTCGCAAGACGAAGAGACTTGCGGAACGAATTAATTTCGTCTTGCGAGGCACCACAGTATCTGACTTTTAGAAGACAACCAAAGGCAGCCCTATATACGGAAGTTTTTAATGTCTGATGCTTTAAGTTGTTGGAAACCACCCAGAGTGGCTGGGGCAACCCAGTCAGATGGGTGGCATAAAAATAATAAATTGGGATTAGTAGGCTTCAGGCCAGTTTAAACAATTTCCCCAAGCAAATAAGGAGTTCCACACATTTGGCCTGACCTGTGTAGTCAATTAAATTTTGTGACCATTGTCATTGCAACGATTCCACTTGTATGGGGAGAAATAGTGTCTTGACACCACTGAAAGTCAGGAACAATTTCCCCTCAAGCCTCTTGGAGAAAGGGGTGCATGCTCTAACAGGCGTGTATGTACTGGTTCATTATTCATTCCTTTGAAATTTGTTAGCAACCACTCCTGGACTAGATCAAGTGCCACACTGTTACCTTCAGACCCTGACGGGGGCATTTTAACACCCAAGAATTGATGGGAAAGACCAATATTAATTTTAATCTGAAGTTCTTACACAGTATGATGTGCCTTACTGAACTCAAAAGACTAATCCTGTTTCTGTGTGTGTTAGTTTGGCAGGACTTTTATATGGAAAAAATGAAAGCATAAACTCATATTTTAACACTGTATCATATCTCTAGAGCATCATTAGGTTCCCCCCTCAACTGCTGCCCTGTGCATGATATCTGTGAAACACCAGTAAAGAAATGAGTTATTTAATTTAAATATTCTCTAAAGCAGAAACAAACACATATGTGTAGTGGATCCTTATGAGAATAAATCTTGAATCTATATTTTCAATAGTGGAGTAGAAGAGCTAAAAAAAAAATATCCACATCTGGCAACTAATGTGCCCTTTTGGTTTCAGATAGTACATGGTCATATTGGGGTCATCCTGCTGTATAATTTGCTTCAGGTGGTTAATTTGGTCAGAATCAAGTATACAATTCAAAGTTAACACTAAATACATTACTTCTGGTAACTGAGCCACTGGAGGGCTGTGGAAAATGTGTGTCTTGGGCTTTTTAGGCTCTTCTACCCATGTACTATCTGAAACCCTATCTGGTTGCCAGACGTGAAATATGTTGGCATTCTTTTCGGCTCTCCTACCCGACTACAGGAGTTTTACACACACATCATGTGAAGGGGGTGAAGGGTAAGAGCGAAACTCATTGGTACATTGAAGTTGTCTCAATGATCTCTTACCAGTGTGGCTCTGAAGGGCTTATAAAATAAATATACACTCTTAAATGCTTTCTTTTTAGAAGCTGATTCTACATATTCTTAGCAGATATATTACAAATGATAACTAGAGTGAGTTGAAGTGTTCTCTTTTTTTACTGGCAGTTCAAATAAAGTTGGTATGCTGATCTCAATCAGTGAACATATTCATGCTAAAATCTGATATTTTCAAGGCACTTATGGACTCCATGACTAGATGAAAACCAGGACAAATTATGACTGACAGTGAAACTGTATATAATATAAAAATAACCTTTTGCTTACAATTTACAAAATGTATTACAATCTTCATCTCTGCTATCCTGTAATTGTGGATGTGCGCCCAACTTTTTTTTTTTAATGAAAACTATTTACTAAAACATTAGGGCAAATAATTTACAAGGTACACAAAAAAATTAGGTCATGCAGAGATTTCTTACACCTTCTGTTAATACTTTATGATTGCAGCTTTATCAAATTATATACCTGCTTGCCCTGTACATATACAAAATAAAGTGTACATGGTAATCAAACGTTAGCAAAAAAGTCCATAAACTCAATTTGTCAAAAGTTTCACCATATTAACATGTCTATAAACAGTGTGTAACAGGTTAAAAGACATTAAGGCAATAATACTTGAAGTAACAAAATAAACCATATGTAATACTTTCTCCTAAATGTAGTAAGGCAGATTGATGGCCCCAGCAAAGTTAGATTACAATACTAGAAAACACTCTTGTGAATGCTTAATGTTTGTGTGGATGTATAGAAGAGTGTACCATTGTGTAGTTGCATGTACACTGTGTTAGTCCCAAAAAATAAAAAGTGGAATACTATTTATTGATCGAGTTCAGTGGCACTTGGAATATTCCAGTATAATTTAAAAATGTCCATTTGTTCTTGCATCATGTCCATTCTGAAGGTGGTTCTCTCGGTCCTCTTGGTTTTCCACAACGGTTACCAAAACCTAAAAAAGGGAAAGGGGAAAAGAACTGTTATAAGTTGAAAAAAAGGAATGTAGCAAAAGAAAAGAAATATTACTAATGAAAAGCCAATATACGGAAAACATATAAAAGATAGGACTCTGCTGTTTTGAAACAAGTTCTCAATCTAAGGGGCTATTCTTCAAGTGTTCATTATGCTTCAAGCACCTCGCCCAAAAGAGCAAAAGAAATGGGAAAAGGACAAAATAAGCAGGCATGTTCATAAAGCAACTATCACAACCCGTGGGAATAATAAATTGTAAAAATTAAGAGTCTGAAATACTTCTTACATGCTCAGCTTACTCACAAACTGAAGTAATTTTCACAATTACTGACTGCATTTAAAGTAATCTTTCCTGCTGAACCTCATCCAGATTAATGGTGCTAAATTAGGCCCATATATCTTAGACCTTGTGTAACATTTTAGTGTCACTAGCCTAACAAAGTTTTATCCTAGTTTGACATCTCAACTATGTGCTGCAATTTCCACAATTATTGCTGCTTATCCACAATGAATTAAACCTTTAGCTGTTACAAAAGAGATTTTGTGGCTACCAAGAAATAAACTGTTTCCTCCTGATACATTAACCATTGGTCAAATCATGTACATCATGTATTTTCAAAAGCCACCCTACAAGAGTTATGAACAGATCAATAAAAAGCCACCATTTACCAATTTCTGTAGTCTCAACTGGAACTTCTGGTGTTGGACCTCTTTTAGCAACAGGACTGGAAAGAGGAAGCTGAGGTATAGTATCAATCTGTGATTTGTCTGCTATCTCAGAATGATCTGGGGAGGAAAAAGAAATTCACTGACGCATAAACAAATTTGCAATTCTAAGTATTCAGTTATAAAAACTAATTTCTGTTAATATCCAGTTTTGTCCTAAGTATGGTTTAGAGTGTTTCCAAAGGCCCGGTATTATAACACTAAAAGCAACTTTGTAGATATTGCTTGATAACTGAAATAATTAGTTCCTTAAAGTTATATCCATGTTAAAAGGCAGAATTCTGGCTTCAAGACTATCACGTCAAAGTCTCACACGTTGGAAGACAAATAAAAAAATATTCTGAGTAATGCAAGGAAGGGTGTCTCATTTCCTGCAATGGCATGTTTAAGTGGAGTTATCAATATTGTGATGTAATTTATATGCTGGATTGCCTTGTCCATTTGTGAGCTGCATTGTAATGGCCATTGGCTACAAACGATAAAAACCTGACTGACTGCGATGAAATGGGAAGCAGTTGCACTGAGAGGGATTGTGCACATGAAGCTTCTAGATCAAGGCATTCATCTGTCAAAGCCTCATTACTTGGAACAGAATTTTTTTCAGAATACTGGCATCCTACTTCAGGAACTGTTAATTAACCAGTGTTTGGTCAGAAGCTACTCTCCTGTATTCTGACCTAGCTTAAACAACCTTCACAAGGACAGCTGCTATTTATAAACAAAAATACTGGTCAAGAGGTGAATGAGTACGAAAACCTGTTCTGCTCACACACAGGATTATTCAGCTCCCCCTTTCAAGCAACAGTCCCCTTACATCCAGTCTCAGAGCAGCAGCCCCATAAGGCCTAAGATGTTACAATCAGAATGCTATTTTGCTTTCCCCATACAAAAGTGGAATGACTTTCTAGATGCATCTAGGGTGAGAGAAATCCACCTATTGCAGCCAAGTAGCAGCATATTTCAGTAGCTCAGCATCTCATTTCATTAACAAAACATCTCGTCCCTTTTAAAGTTAAAAAATGAATTGCTTACCAGGCTGTGTAGTCGCCATTTTCAATCCCTGTTAACAATAAAAATGTTTTTAAGTTGGTTCAAAAGTATTTTACTGATTCAGATAATGATTTTTTTTTAAAAAAAATCACATTCTCTAATATTTCCATTCACACATAAATGCCTAGATGAAAAAAGAGAAACATAGCTCCTACAACTTTAACAGTTGTATGAAAGAGAAAGTTCCCTTTTATGCATATATTAAAGATTCAGGAATGCTGGCTACTTTTTCACCTGGCCATCGTATTCATATGCTAGATGCCTATGTTCAATTGGAAGTATCAACTTTTAAAAAATGTTACTGCACAATGAAATCCTGAGAAAAGTAAAGGCTGATCGTTCCTTTGGCATTTCTGCCACTGCAACCATAACATCTAGGCAGTTTCAAAAGAGTGGTGTTCTTCAGATGCCAGTAAGTCTATATACCACACAAAGAAGCGTGGCATATGACGAAAGCTACTGGAGTTCCAACTCCAGCAGCTACAACCAGCATTTCCAGCAGTCAGGGATGACAGTATCTGGAATCCAATAAAAACTGGAGGACCAGTTCCCAACCTTAAGCTTTCTGTTGTCATTCATATATAAGTGTGTGTGTGAGTATTTTACACACAAACACACACAATAAAGCTCTGACTTAATACTTCATTATTCTTAGGGATTTGTTCACGTTTTAAAGTAAAAAAACAAGGTAGCAACTGTTTATGCCTTAACCCACACATCCCTATTTATCACAGCTTCCCTTCTCTTTCAACATACTCTAGGGGCTTAAATTACAATACAGTATGATAACTCCATGGAAAACATTAAACCCATAATGACATTTTCTGCTAAAAATAAAACAAGACAACCATACATGCCAGAGTTTGCACATGCACACACAGTAAAATATCAGTTGCTTTCCTAAAGAGGTTGCACAGAAAATCTTCCACGCTGGGCTCAGGCGACGCTTCTGGTTAGCAAATTCTAAATATGGGGGAAGACAAGAAACTCCCACCCCAACCTTCCACGCTAATCTTACTTTCTTCCTAAATAGTACCCCCAGCAGAAGCTCTAGAGTGCAGCTGATGTACTGAGACCTATTAGGTTTACATGGGAGACAGCCATTCCTTCAGTGGGCTAAACTTCTTAAGCAAGCACAAACAATTTGGATGAGGGGAGGGTAAAGATTTTATGAAATCATTTGGATTGAAATAAAAAATCAAGTGATACTTTGGGGAGCTACCAGAAAAAGGAGTGAACAAGCAGACACTTATTTTGCCCTCAAAGGGTGTATCCCAGGGACTGGGAACCACTTTCAGTCAGAGGGCCAGAACCAAAGGTAGCCAACCCTCCAGGGACCACCCTGTTATCAAGTATGGGAAAGAAGCCATATTCCCAAAGCTAACATCCCATACTTACTGTACATTTTGGTTGATCAGAAGGTTTCTGGTCTTGCGAGAAACTCCACTCAGCAGATCGTGGAAGGATAACAGCTTTGGGGGAAGTTGTGACTATGAAAACCAATTTTAAAATACATTATTCAGTAGACATGCTGCTGTACAAATTCAATAAAACAATAAAAGCTTAACAGTTCAGCAAGATTGGTAGTTACAGTATTTTTAAAATACACATTACAATATGGGGATTGAAAATAGTAGTTAATGAATTAGTTCAATAGCCCCTTGTATATTGATGTTTCCCAATCTAGCCTTCCCAAAGCCAGTAACTGACTAAAAGGGAGAACAATACAACTGTAGGAGCACAGTCCTATATAAACACAGCACAGGGCACTATGGTGGGTGCATGTATCTTTCTATGCAATGCAGCAGCCAGAAAACCTTTTACCATAGGTAACCAGGGTAAGTGAAAGCCCACTATATAAGCCAAGACAATAATGCAGCAAACTAAAATTACCTGAACATCTATTTGTTTGTCACTACATGCATTATCCAGCTTCTGGTTACCTCAATATCTATCGCTATTTGGCCAAAGTGCTCCTTTAATGCACAAGTCTGATTCATGACTTTTGTGAAACCAACACAGTACAATGAAACTCACTCTGCTCACTTGCAAGCACAAGAGATTCTGGAGTTCTTTCTGGTAAAGGAGGAGAAGAAGGGTCTTCAGAAACACCAGCATCTAAAGTCACCAAAAATTGAGAACACCTTAACACTTAAACAGATACATTATGTAAAAGAGTGCCTGGGACAAAATAAAATATCAAATCATTTGTAATAAAGGTTTTAACTGAATATACTTTTCACAGTCGGGCATAGCCCTGCTGGCTTTGTACAAGTGTGTTTTGTACAATAACCACAAAATGGCTGGCTGCCCACAATGTATTTAGATGCCTTGTCTGATGTATTAATTCACTTGGCAAGATGCCTGTAGTAGGCGGAAGCCGTGGAACTGCAGCAACAGATTAATGATTTTTCATTAAGATGACAGGATGCAGACCTTTAACCAAGCTAACCATTAGATTAAAATGGATCCAGCCTTTCTACTTTCCCAGGAAAGCCATGTAAGTAATGGCAACTGAAATTCTTTCATGCTGCAATCCTATACATACTAATCTGGGAGCACATCCTATTTAACTCAATGTGACAGACTTCTAAATGGACATACAATAGAGTTGTGCTGTCAAGGCATTAAAACAAGCAGTTTACAGAGCTTGGCTGACAATGCCTATGTTACAGTAGCAGGTAGGGTCAAAATATTATACTTCTGGTTTCAAGCTGCATATTACAGCTAGAAGTTGTATTAATATAAAGTTACAAGGAAGCACTGCCCAAGTAGAGGAGGGAAGACCCATTGAGGCTAACGGGACTACTAAAAAGTCATATTTGCACAGCAATGAAAGACGCATTTAGGATGTTCAATCGACTTTCTGAAGAATTTTTGCTGAACAGACTGGACAGATTCAATCACCATTGTATTATTTCACAGACAATGAATATGTCATGTAGACAATTCCTTTCAAACGTGGAATAGACTTTCAGACTTAATCCTGGAGTAAATGTGAGAAGTTCTTTTTTCAGATGTGTTGATGTCTTCAAATCCAAGATTTTGAAACAATTGTGAACAAAATTAACCAGGTATGATAATCTGAAAGCAGAAGCTGTGGGGCTGCACATCTACAGCACCTGAAGGAGATAACTCACTAAGAACCTGTGCATAAGCAGTAGAATAAGAGCTGTTCTCTATTATTTTACTTCCCTTTACACTTCTCACCTGTTATAACAGAGCATAAATGCTTGACACTTTGCTTCTAAGGCAACCAGACCTGTAGAATATAGCTGTGATCTACCACAGACATCCAGTGATCTACCAGTAGATCACGAGCTATCTGTTGGATGTGCCTGATCTGGGTTAAACAGGTTAATGTGGTTTACAAGTGGATTTGTAATTGTTGACAAGACTTGGCAAAAGAGTAAACATCTACTGGTTTATAGAACAAGTCATAGTCCATAATACAATGCAGAGGCAGCATTAACGTGCCACAATAAACTAGGGTAGCGGGCTCAGTGTGACTATTGCAGGGATAGCAACCCACACCTAACTTTCCTGTACCTCTGATATACAGTGTCAGGCACAGGAACCTCTGGGAAGGAACCCTATGAAACACTTTCCCACACCTGGCAAGGAGCGAGCAAGGTGACTGGATGCAAAGCCACAACAGGTGAGCCAGAATCTAGCTGAGTTACGGTAGCCAGCAAGACAGCTGGGCACACTAGACCTGTCAGTACCAAAGCTAGGCAGATCACACGCACTGTCCCTTCCCCTGTGCACAACAGCTACACCAGTTCATGGAGTAAAAGAATGTCAGTAAAGCTTCTTGGAAGAAAGTAAACGAAAGCTGGTTGGATTTCTAGAGAGTAGGAAGAAGGTATGTTGCTCCTTCCCACTTCTCTGAAGCATCCCTGTACAGGGCAAGTAGGGGAGTTCTTCACCTCCCCACCCACCTTCAGGATTCTAGAAGACATTAAGGGACTTGGAGTGGCCAATTCCATTTCTCTACTTCAATCCTCCCCATCCCACCCCACCCTCAACATTCTGTGCTCAGCAATCCTAAACATCCAAAAATCTTGGAAGTCACCAGACAACAGGACCCACGTTGCAACAATTTTTTAATGCTTTTTAAAAAAGAGGAAGCTACCTTGTACCACTGGCTCAACTAGCTCAGTACTATCTAAATGACTGGCAGCAGCTCTCCTGGGTTTCAGAATGAAGTATTCTCAGCCCTATCTAGAGATACTGGGAAATGAACCCAGTAAGTTCTGCATGCAATCCAGTTTACACCTGCGAATCTCCAGCTCCAAATGTGAGCCTTTTAGCACAAGTAACAGTTTCAGGAGAGGGAACAGTTTCTCCTCCTGAAAACCCAGTCCCAGCATTTAAAGCCCAGGGCTCATATTCCAGAGCCCTGAAGGAGAGCATACCTTACATTTTGGTGTGGGTTCCAACTTGTTCCTTCTACTATTAAACCCAGGCAATTCCACACCTATTCAGGTGGAGCTATTCCCACATACCAGTAAAGTATTAATTCTTTTAATTAGAAAAACAACAACAGTCCAACTGCTTTCAAACAAAACGTTAAATGCATACACTGAAATGAAAGGAAGGAAAGTGGGAACAGGAAAGATTTATTTAAACCCCAAACATTTTATAGTATCTATCCTAAAGGTGGGTATAAAGGTCAGAGCAGATGCATGTGCATGCGCAACAAAAGAGATAAAGCGCAAACACTCTTTCTACAAATACCTTAATTAGAAGAATTAAGGAAACACCACCCAAGTATCTAGACAACTACTGAGCAAAACAACTAGACCCAACAGAGATATAACAAATGTGTGTCTGGCTTGTTAATGCATTGTGTGCATCTGAAACACAAACTATAGAAACAACACTGGACACCGATAAAATTGGAAAGACTCATGAGGTGGCCCCATTCACATGCAGCCCCCAGCCCCATGGCATCTGATCTTAGATAAGCAGTTCCCACATGGCAGTGGCTGCATTTGAAGGACACCTGTGTGGAAACACTAAGGACAACAGGAGATGACTGGTTACTTCCCGGACAAATTGCCAAAAAAAACCTGTTTCCTTTTCCATTAAAAAACATGCACTACTGAAGCTAAACAGCATCTTCAATCAGAAACACACAGGGGAAAAGCATGTTACCGTAATCTAAAGCAGCAGTTTGACTGCTTTTCTGGACTCTGAGATTTCACACACAAAATCTGTATGTTTCAAACCTTAGTAAGTGCTTCGGAATTGGAGAAGATCAAGAGATCACTCCCTGTCACAAATGGAGAAGGTTTATTAAGGAGGACAGATTTTTCCTTTCCCACTCTCAGGAACACAACACATACATCTTGGAAAGGGAATTGTGTTTGGAGTGCTATATGGAGAGATTTCAGGAAAAGGAGGACCTCTAAAAAACCTCCACCCTCCCATTCTTTTAGCACAGTAAATTGAGGCTTCAAGAGGGCAGAAAAAGTGTCCTTTTTCCCTCTCCCCCTCCTGAAACCTCTCCCAGCTTTGCAAGCCCTAAACAATTCTATAAAACTTCTGTGGTAACTGGTGCCTGGAAAAAGAACATTGCAACCTTTGGTTACGGTTTCCTGCCAATCCCTCTAATAACTATTTTAAATGGATCAATGCCTATCAGTTGGGCTAACACAGATGCCCAAAGGTAAGTTAGTGGTTTAGACTCGGAGGATTTACAATGTACTCATAAGTCTATTGTGTTTTTTTAAAAAATCAGCCCTACAAGGATCCAGGTGTTTGTTACCCACGCAGGAGAGCTGGTTGCTTAAAGCTAACAGAATTGGAAGCTGTGACTAACAGTCACTGCCCCCTCCCCAACTAAAGAGCCTCTGAATGACAGCAGCTGTTCCCTACTACCAAGGCTGATGTTTCCAAGGCCAACCTGAACAAATTAATGGCCAGTCCTACTCCACTTCATGTTGGCTCTTGTTTATGAAAACTTCCATGTACCAGCTTTCACATAAACTTCTAATTTCACTTCTCCCCCTCCAGCCCCTGCCCCATGTCACCCCCTGTCACACTTCATATCAGATTTTTGGGAGCATATATAGGGGCCCCAAAAACAAGGATTGCTTGCTCACACTATTAAAACCTAACAGAATAAATAAAATAGCAGCAAACATTAGGTCAAAGCGAACATATTAAGTTATTATGGTCAACTTGTATAGATACCCAGCAAAGATCTGAGAAAATAAATGTTTTTAGATGTTACCAAAATGTGATGAGTGTTGGCACCTACCTTCATAATATGCACAACCCCTTAGTTTTCTAAGTTGGATCCAAAGGTTGCAGAAGGATCTTTTTTAGCCGCCAGCCAATTCCAGCTGCAACCCCAACACCTACTCTAGAAAGTTGGGGAACACTGCTGAACAGTGTGGTCTGTGATGGACTCACTGAAAAGCACATGGATTCAGTATGTGCAAGTGAAAATGTGCTTGTGCAAGGCACCTCAGTCCAATTTTGCACTCCCACATCACAGCTGATGTTGTTCAGGAAGGGATGGGGGAAATCCTTGCACAAGGAAACTTTCCCTTTCACAAGCTTAGGATCCAACTCTACAAATTTAGTATTTCTAATATAGATAGCATCTAGTAAAGCTTACCTTTATCAGCTATGATTGAGGCATCCTGTCTTGCAATGGACATGGGCAATACTTTTCTAGCGGAAACGTTTTCTGTGCCAGCAGCCACAGAAACCGTGGCACTTGCAGTTGAAACATTAGACATGCTTTGTGTCATAGACACATCAGAGTTTCTTTCATCTGTATCAGAATCATCAGAATGCAGAGGATTTGTAAAACAAAGGGGTACTCTAACTGGAAGCATGCCACTGTGATAATGATCCGCTGATTCACTGGAAGGAGCATCCATTTGAGATGGTGAGTTCGAGACTACAGGCAGATTTTTAATCCCGTGACATAAAACAGCTGGAGACGTGTCCTCTGGTGTTGATGTTGGCTGTACATTTTTTGTCCCTTGTAACGACCACATAGCATGTCCCTTCTCTTTGAGAGGCAAACAGTCTGGTCTTTGCAGAGGGTCAGAACCTACCAGACACTGATGGCCTTCAGGTGAGGATGTTACAGCTTTGTTCAGTGGCTGCATATTGCATTCTATGCAAGAGTTTTGGAAGGTATCTGTAGGAGCATCTCCCGAGCCTTGTTCCTGTAGTTTAGATGTCTTGTCCACCGCACAAGATGAGCCAGTCTTAATTTTGATTGCATGTCCCCTATTCAAGAGGGTGTTCCCATCAAAGCTCCTTGGCCCCTCTTGAAGGGGTACCTTTTTAATTTCAAAACTCAAGTTGCGCTCAAGCTTTTTCTCTACACGTTCAGAGACTTCATTCTTCCCTGGGTGCTCTTCTGACTTATTGTAGTTTTCATTGAGGTCTGTTGGATGCTCTGAAGAAACCATGTGCAGAACAGGCTTTGGATGGTATCTGTCATTGTCCTGCCAAACAGTTGTTACTGTTGGATAAGCTGAAGGAGGTGATGGCGTTAAAATGGGTGGTACTGGATGAGGCTCTGGAGGCTGCAGAATTTCTTCTTTTACATCTCCTTCTACAAGGCAGCTAAAGAGAATAATTGTGTAAGTACTCCATAATGAAGGATTGTGTACATTTATTATATAAGCTACCTATTCAGAATATGAACTTTAAAAACCCTTTCTCAGAATTACGTTCACAATAAAAAATAGGCACATTTTATCCAAAATAGTTAGAACGTCAAAATCCACAAAATAGGAACCAAATGCTATAGTTTTGTAATAATCCCAGGAAACAGAACTTTCTTCAAACGCCCTTAACTTTTACATCCAATATTTGAATAAAGGTCAACCCAGAAACACATTAAATATCAAGAAAGCATTTAACACATGAAGAAAAGATGGTATCATGCTGTTATTGCCTATGGGCAACCACCAGAACCTACTATTTATTGCTTAAAATCTACAATAAAGCATGCGATTATCAGCAGTCTGCAGGAAAGCCATGCCCCCTTGTGGCAAAATTTGAAATACATGTGTTGGAGGGGCAGGGGTATAATGCTTACTGCAGCAAAGCATGACAACTGCACCAGCTTCTATTAAGTTTGACAGAACATTTGAATGCCTTCCTGATTATGACATTCCTGATATGATGGTATAACCCCTCTATTATACATATAACATAGGACACAAGCAGTCTATGGGAAAGCCCATACTTGAAATAATGTATAAGGAAGACTATCCTTGGATTAACTGCTTGATTCGTGCAACCTTGTTTTGATTAGACTGCTGAAGTCTGAATTAGGCCACAGTTATATAATTTTCCAGTTTATTGCATGCAGATATAAAATACATTGTTTGTCAGAGGTCCATAACCCTGACATTCACCCAGGTATATAGAATGTAGCAAACCAATCTACAATATATTCCCGCATTGTCTCTCTTGTTGTCACTCAAGACGTTAGCAGATACACACACAATACTATGATTTATGGATTTGCATGCCTTAAGATTCAGAAAGCATGTCACCAGGTGGATTTATTTTACAGAAAATCCAGAATTTTTCTTAAGCGCAGCTTTCTCTACAAGCATCAAATGACTACACTTGCTTCAAGGATGAATGAAAGGACAAGAATGTTGAATATGAAATAGGATGAAGATGTTTGTAAGTGCTTAAAATGGAACAGATGACAGGCACAGAGATAGTAAGCAATCCTTATAGAAGGGCACTTCATGGAAATCATGAAGCAAAAAGCACATGGCTGACATAATAAAACTCTTTCTTTAGCAAGATGTGATGAGCAGTAGTGTCTGCTGATGGGCAAAATGAGTCTCATCAGCCAGGGTGCTTTTCCTTCATTGAATTAGGAAAATAAGACTATAATGCAACGTTCAGTGAAATCTTTAAAATTATGATGTTAACTTGCAACTCAGTAAACTGAATCTGCTGGGAGGATATGGCCTGGGAATGTTTTTCCCTAACCTAAAAGAAGTTGCCAAGAAACAGAATGCTTGCCTTCTTAAACATCTGATGGACTACCAGACTGGAGTCTGATGAGAGTACTATCAAACTAATATTACATAAATACAGCACCCTATGAAATGTTCCAAGGGTGAAAGTGAAACCATGTGCCTCTCCAGATGTTGTTAGACTACAACTCCCCCTTAGTCCCAGCCAGTACTGCCAATGGTCAAGAATGATGGGAGTTGTAGTATAGCAACATCTGGAGGTTCTCCATTCCTGCCTTACACCAATAAGCTGACTAAATTTGTTCTTGGGCATATGCTCATCTGACCAGATACTAATGGAAATAAAATGGGTCCATAATAAACGATTCCCTATGAGTAATTATCCAGGAGTACCTGCGAGTTCGAGGTGGCTTTGGTGGAGGTGAATCCTGTTTCTCAAGCTCTCCAGAACTGGCGGTATTTTCTGTGCCAACTTCGTCCTGTCAAGAAAATTAAATCCCCAAAAGTTTTATTCAAAGGTTAAGAGAAACATCCATACAAAAACCAAAACATACACCAGCTTAGGATTGAGTTACTGTGCATATTGTGTTAAATGTGAGCACAAAGAAATACTCTATGAATGAATAGTATAATTTCACATGACTCAAATTTAATAGGGAGTTTTTCTAGTGTGACAATATAAAGGAATCAAAATTATAACCTACAACACATTTGTTCTTCATATTCTCATCTGAATATGTTTTATGAATATGAATAATGCCCAATAATGCCAAATGCAATCAGTAAAAAGCAGGTGCTGGGTTAGGGAGGTGGCAACATTACAGCCTTGCTGTGAATGTGTGTGTTTCAACTTTGGGTGGGCTTCCCAAGGATCCCTGAGCTTTCCTTTGGATCTCTGCTGGCTATCCAAGCCTGTCCAGTGCTGATCCTTTCGATCTCAAATTTGGAAGTGGAAAAGATCACCGCAGGGTGGGATTTGCAAGGAGGCTGGGTTATCCAGCTGAGCTACAAAGGAGGAGGCACAGGGATGCTCTCAGAGCACAGAAAAATTCTCCCCTTCTGCTGCTGGGATAAGCAACAGAAGGAAGCTTGCATTTTGAAAACTTTCCTTCAACACTTTAGCAGCAGTAGTGGGAGGGGGCAAAGGGGAGAAATAATTCTGTCTCCTCTTCTGTCGCCCCCTTGCTGCTGCCACCACTGCTAATGTAAACACACTGGGAGGGAGAGCAAGGGACTTTTGCCCCTTAAGGGAAAAATTGTAGATCCATCAAAAGCAGAAAGACCGCCAATGCTCCATAGCACAGAGCCCTCTAAAATCAAATTAAAGGCCTTCAAGCCGCCATGCCATGCATTCTGCCTCCCAACCGTAAGTGCTATGTATAGTGCAACATGAAAGACCAGAAAAGACCAGGCATAATGCACTTTGCAGACAGAGCAGCACAGTGGGAAATAAAAAGCAAAAAAACCACTGCATTTCTGTATCTTGCTCTCCCAAGTCCAGCTCACACCAAGCACCAACTAAGAAAAGTGGGGAAGACATGGGCCAAAGCTGCAATTTTCCACTGGTCACAAGCTTCTTAGCAATAAGAGAGCATTCCTGGAGATACCACTGCAAAGAAGAGGGTGACTGAGGAATCAAACAGCGGCTGGAGGAGCATAACTTGCAGACTCTGTGGCCCCTAAGCTGAGAATCACTGGCTAGATCCAACTGCAGCCAACATGGACCAAACAATCCACATGACATTACGAAGTACACAGTTTTATAAAACTCTCATAATATTTATCCACATTCTTTGTTAGTAACCCAACAAAATTTAGTTGAAACTGTAAATAACAACAGATGTGTTTATTTTCTTTATTATTAATTGCTGGATCATTGTATTACAGCAAAATTGTACCTTGTGAAAATTCCTAATAAAAAGTCCCAAGTCAGCCAACAGATTTGAATGTTATGAGTACAAGTTTAAAATATTTTAATGACTGTTTAGTCATTTACAGCCCAGTGAAAAGGCCAGCTACTGCTGAAGGATCTTTACATAATATATTTAATAGCAAAGTAGTGACAGACTATATAAGACTTCTGGGAAATGTCTGAACAAGGCAAAGAGAGAAGACAGGACCAGGACTTATAAAAATAAAATAAAAAAGGCACGTAGATATTGAGGTGTTAACTCAAAATATTCTGCAATATATAAGCCAGGCATAAAATATTTTCAAATAATTCAGTTATGAGAAGCAAATATTTCTCAACATTGTTTCAAGGCAGCAAACTGAGAGTTTATGAGAAAGATACAAAGGAATTGAGAGCAAATCAGCTTGTGTAGAACAAGGAGTGTGAAAGGAAGAACAGAGCCAAGGGCAGACTACTAGAGATCTATGAAAATAGACCCAGGAGCTTATATCATTAAATAAGATTAAAAGCGGTATCTACTGAACGAGTCAAATGTACCATATAAACCCATCTAATTCAACATATTGCCTTAGCATCCAGCCCCTTGTTGCCATTACAGAACATTAACAGAAGTGCTTTTGTTTAACTGCTCAAGGACGAAGATTTACTCATACTCCCTGCACCATCAGCTACATTCTCCTTTGCATTAAAGTATCATTGAGCAGCCTAATCCATTTCATGTCATGTCCTCAATTAATGTACCAAATGTTATGGCTACTGAACATGTGGATTAAGACATTAGCTTCTGGCAATCAAAAAAACAAAGCAAAACCCAAGAAGGTATAATGCATGTTATGAAGATGAGCTCATCTACGGTGGGGAAGAACAGATGGTGGTCTTACAAGAGAAAACCTTTGCCTCTTTAAATCAGATTTTCTTCAGCCAACTTATTGCCTATTTTCCTAGGCAAATGTTATTCTATTTTATTTCAGTAGCTACATTTAAGAAAGAATTTGCTTTGATGCAAAAGATATTGTGTAGCCCACAAGAGCTTGGTCTAGTAATTTTCAAAAGCTGATTATATGCTTATGAACCAGAATGTGGTTTATGAAAAAAAATTGGTCCATTGGCACTGCTGGGAAAAGCCAATCTCTACGCTGAAATGGCTGGGCTTTAATTAAAACAGAGGGGGGAAATAACACAACACACACAGGCATGGCTTTGTCCACACATATTTGTGATGCAGCAGCCATTGTGGAACTCAGAAAGGAATTAAAAGTTATTTTCTGCCAACAAAGAGGCCACTAGATTCGGCACAGGAACAGCACTCAATCTCCCACATACATTAAGGAAATATAAAGTATGAAATAAATGATCCCAACAGCAGGGACACAAATGGTGATCTAAGTTGTCAAAAATTCACAGGAGAAAATGGACAACTTGGTGAGCCCTTACTTAAAATATTTAACAAACTCTCTTAAAATGTGATGTTTTAATAGCGTTGTTCTATTTCTATTCTAATTGGGGCTATAAGCATTAGAGCCGATGTGGAACACACTTCTTTAAAAATGCTTATTTTGGTTAATGGAAGAGAAGCTCCTCCAGACAATTACTGCAATTTTACTTTATACTTCCTGCATAGGTGTAAATTAGGTTTCTGCCTACTAGAACTGATGCGATGCCCTGTTAGGAAGACAATTGTGTATCAAGACCCCAACCATCATCAAATGGTTTCATTTCATCAAATAATAAGGATGTGGCCAAGAAACCACAGAGCCTAGGGCTTGCCGATCAGAAGGTCAGTGGTTCAAACCCCTGCGACGGGGTGAGCTCCTGTTGCTCGGTCCCTGCTCCTGCCAACCTAGCAGTCCAAAAGCACATCAAAGTGCAAGTAGATTAATAGGTACCATTCCGGCAGGAAGGTAAACGCCATTTCCGTGCGCTGCTCTGATTTGCCAGAAGCAGCTTAGTCATGCTGGCCACATGACCCGGAAGCTGTACGCCGGCTCCCTCGGCCAGTAAAGTGAGATGAGTGCCGCAACCCCAGAGTCATCCCCGACTGGACCTAACGGTCAGGGGTACGTTTACCTTAAGAAAGACTCAATCATGTTATGCTCTTTTTAAAGTCAAAAAATAATAAAAAATGCTATTGTGGTCACCATCAGTTCCTCCCTTCCCTGTGTTCTCAGTGAACTGGAAAGAGAGGGAGATCTTTTCCCGTCTTTTCTGACTTTTCAGCCAAATACGGAGGGAGCAAAACAAAAGACTCCTACTGCTGTCATTACTTAGTTAAAAATAAAGATGACCCTTTTCCCTAGTCCTCAGGCACATGCAGAAGACGGCTATCAGCAAGTCTCTCTTGCCACTTTTTCCTTCCCCAGTGCCTTTAGGCACTGAAGAACAATTTCTTCTGGAAAAGCTCTGCTGCGACAGGCCAAAGGCCCGTCCAGCATCCTCACAGGGCCTGATCAGAAACCTATGATAATACCACAAGCAGGACATGTGCACAGAAGCCCAATCCTATTACACTGTTGCTGCGGACCCCGCATCCTGAGACAACCCCCTCCCCACATTCTCTGCAATTCCTGGCAAACTTGGATGGACATGGCAAGCTACTAAAGGTAAGATGTAAGGTTCTAGAACTGAACTGCATCTCCTGGCTTGCCTCAGCAGGCCCACTGATGACTAACACCCAAGAAGATTCTTTCTCCCAAGCATTTTATGTTTACCTCCCAGACTAAGAGTCAGAGAAGTCTGCAGGAGATCTTTGTGGTAACTATAAGCAAAGCAGTTTCAGAGGGAAGATTAAGGCTTTGTCTGCGTGTGGTTACTTTGCCTGGATCAGTCAGTCCAACAAAAGTATTGTGCAACATCCTTTTCAGCTGTTATAGTCAAGAAAGTTGACACTGGTAGAGCATGTTAGACAAGAATGTGCTCCTAAACTATACTTAGGCCAGGCCAGTTCAATCCTATGTGGACTAATAGAACTTGCTGGGGGTGGAGGGAGTTTCCAGCTGAGAATTAAAGGGGCAGGGCAGTTTTCAGCTGAAAACAATAATCCTTACATAACTTGGGTATTCAGCTTTATTTTCATTAATTCAACACTATAATACAAACCAAAGGCACAGCCCTAATGAGTTTTTTTTCCATTTTAACTGAAAACACAGCATCAAGGCCTGTTTCTAATAATGCATTAAATAACTGAGCGGTCTGCTCCAAAACAAACCTACTAAGTATCATTAGGTTGGATAGTTTAGCCTCAGTGGTAACCTCGGGTTAAGTACTTAATTCGTTCTGGAGGTCCGTACTTAACCTGAAACTGTTCTTAACCTGAAGCACCACTTTAGCTAGTGGGGCCTCCTGCTGCTGCTGCTGCTGCGCCGCCGGAGCACGATTTCTGTTCTCATCCTGAAGCAAAGTTCTTAACCCGAGGTAATATTTCTGGGTTAGGGGAGTCTGTAACCTGAAGCGTATGTAACCTGAGGTACCACTGTATTATCTATTGTAAGTCATGCCGATATCAAAAACATAATTTGTCAGATAAGTCCCTTGTGTCATATCACACTAATTATCATGGGCCAAAATGCAATGAGACATGCTCTCAACACTGCAAATGCACCAGAACTTTCTGCCTCCCCTTCTCAATGCTGCTCCCAGCAGCATTCAGAAAAGCTTCTGCAGAAATATCAGGAACCCCCTAGAGTGAGACTCCTCAAGACACGAGGGAAGACAGCCAGAAATTAAAAATATCCACTTTCACCCCTTACCCCTTGGTGCAAGTGTGGAAGCACTTTCTGATCACATACCAATGGAATGAGGTGGGGAAGAGGGAAGAGACTGCATCCTGGCTATGCAACCAGTGCTGAAACAATAATAACCACAGTAACAGTTTCAAGAAGAAAAAGAAGACAATGACTTTGGTTTCTTTTCAAAAGAATTCAATGGAATAAAGTTTGTTGCAGTAAACTGACCCCTTTTAGAAAGAGCCCAACTGGCAGCAAACGCATACAAACAAGAATGGATTTTAATACCATATTTACTCGAATGTAATGCACACCTTTTGGGGCCAAATTACATCACAAAAAGTAGGGTGTGCATGTGATGGCGCATTTACATTTGCCAGCAAACACTTTTTTGGTTTCAAGGTTTTGAAAATTGAGGTGAAGCATTAGGTTGATGGTGCATTACATTCGAATAAATACGGTATCTTATTACCACAAACAAAAAACTAAGATGAACAAGGGTAATTTAACAATAAGGAAAAGCTACTATTTCAAATCTCATGAAATACGACAAAAACACCTACCAGCCCATCTGCAATTTTCCAGTTTGCACAACTTTCATATTTTTGAAGTTGCTTTTCAAACAACTGTGCTATGGCTCGATGAACAAGTTCATACTGTTCCTGGGTGCATGATAAAAACCAAGATTAGCATACAAATATATAAGCAGTGTTTCAAAGACACTATTTCACAAAGTGGTGATGTCACAGCCATATACTGAACCACTGAACTGAAAGCAGTATTACCTTAGTCTGTACTGCGGAATGTCTTTGTGTCCTCATTTCTTGTATTAAATTAAACACATTGAATTCCTCTGGTATTTTCTGAAATACAAAGGAGCAGAAGGTTGTCTACTGATGTACTTTGGTTCAAATACTATCTAGTCACAAAATGCTTCAGTATTTAGTATTTCTATTGCAATCATGAACTAATCATGCACTAACAAAAGAAAAAGGAAAATAAACTTCATTGCTGCTACGGGGAAAGGTACTATCTAACTTAAAACTCATTTTCAAATTATGTTCAATTTTGCACACTGAGGAGAACTCCATTACTCCCCTATAAAACTCTACTCTAATGACTGGCATAAGATGACCTAGTTTTGCAGCATTAGATTGCTATAAATCCTCCTTACCCCAGCTTTCAACAAATTCCATGTATAATCTATGGCACAGATGGCTCCTGTTCTTCCACACCCAGCACTAGAGTGGAAAAAGATGAACACCATGAGAGAAAAGGAGGCTTAAAACTTTGCATTTATGTTCATACCTACCAAACACTTAACAGGAGGTATCCTTGAAAAGCTATTTTAGAGTTGACGTTTAAACAATTCTGAATTATCACCAACTGGATTTTTGTTATAATAAGTAGTGGCTTGTGTTTTCATATCAAAAGCATATATCTACAATTTTGCTTCAAGGTTTTATCAACATACCAATCTACACACAAAAAATGTCCCTCTTCAACAAACACATTGCCAATACATATAAAATGGGACTGTACTGTAATAACAAACATAATAACCGTATACAATTATTAGGGTAAGCCATATAGGCATTTTCTACATAAAGTACATCAAAATGAATCAGTCCATTTATTTAGCAGCTGGTGACTATTTACATTTTATTTCAACTACAGTCAAGCACAAAGGGTAGTTGAAAATAAAAACTATCTGTGAGTCCTATTTTCAAGATACAGGCCTGGTTTGCATATTACAATAAATCATAGTTAAAACCCAACTGTTGTTTAATGTGGACCACACGGCATGCTAGTGCATGTACCTGAAAAGTTATCGCTCTGCTCTACTGAGAACCAAGCCAGAGAATAGTATGTCATAACATCCGAATATAGGGTTGTGGTTTGTTTCTTTTCACACATCCCATGAATCGCAACAAGGTTTGCTCTTGGCTTAGGACTTCAATCAATCAATCAATCAAATCAATATTTTTATTGTTTATAGCCAATGGCCATCACAATACAATATAAGCACAAATTACACAACTACAGAACAAAATACGTCCTTTTGAATAGTGCAAGTGCCAAACCCTAGGGATGCTGACCAGAATGTATGGTTTTTTAAAAAATTCTGGACATTTGTCTAGGTCTGACATAGGACTTATGATTTATTAAGGGAAACAAATAATGTACCATGATTCAAATATAATGACAAGTATGACTCTGGCTTGTTTACTAGTGGCATGGCAGAAGCGGAGTGAGAATCTTTGGGCAGTATGCATGAGCGCACTGCTTGTACACATTTAACCGCAGTTCATAACTATGGTTTAATGCAGCGTGTGAACTGGGCTGTGTCTCAAATGTTTTCAAAGACAGTCTGCACAGAAGTCTGTATTTAACAAATATGAATCTGTTTCAAGCCTTATTACATTACTATAGTCCCCTTTCCTCTGTCAAGAACTCTAGGCATTGTGTTTTTGAGAAAGTATTCCTAGATTTAAGAAATTCCTATACTACTCACAGAATAATTAACGGGTGTCGAAGACATGACAAGTTAAAATATAAGGGATGCTTTTAATTAAACACACTCTAAAGTACAATGTAGCCCCCCCCACACACACAAAAAAACACCATTACAGAGACATCAAGATTGATATCACACACGGTGACAACTTTTTGACTTTAATATCTATCTCATCATATCCCAGGATCCCTGGGAGGGATAGCAACAGTTTTGAATGAATATGTTACACGCACTTCTACAAATGTCTAGAAACAGAAGCATGTCTACCCCACAATGAAGATGCACTCGCTGCATTTTATCTGTCTCTTGTACTTAGGGTAACATGCTTCCTGTACATGCATACTTTCTCTCCTTCCAAAAAAATAGGCTGGGTTTGGTTACCTCTTCCCCCCCACCACTCAATATTTATTTATGTATGATATTTATATACCACCCGCTAACGTAGGTTCCAAATAAAATTACACAAAAAGTTGTTACTGCTGCAACAATGTTAACATTATTCAGTAATACAGTGCATCCTGATATGTACATATCCTATAATACTACAGCAGTTATAGCAATGAAAATATCAAAGAGATGCACTAGCCATAGATTTTTACAAATGTTTATGCATCCATGTTAATATTATTCTGCTGCTTTATCCTCAAGATTAGGTTTAGTACCCTCAAAACTATCTTGAGCTCACCAGCTGATTGCAATGCACTATTAAACTTACATACACAAAGGCAACACACGAAAGCCATCAATTCCAAAGTTAAAAAATAATACTTTCTAGGATCCCCCATCTAAATTCCTGCATGAAAATTTTAATTTGTACCTGCAGTGTATGCAAATAGGAACATCTTCATGCTCCTGGTATTCCCTCATTAAGCTGATCATGTCCAGAATAGAATCAAAAGATGATGGAACGTCGTGGTCAGGCCAATTCACATAATGAAATTGATAAACCCTACGTGTTTCCTAGAAGAAAAAAAGGTTGTGTTATATCTTTGGACAGGAGTCAGCAAACTTTTTCAACAGGGGGCTGGTCTACTGTCACTCAGACCTTGTGGGGGGCTGGACTATATTTGGGGTGGGGGGAGAACAAATTCCTACGCCCCACAAATACCCCAGAGATGCATTTTAAATAAAAGCACACATTCTACTCATGTATAAATATGCTGATTCCAGGGCCATCAATGGGCTGGATTCAGAAGGCGATGGGGCCTGATCTGGCCCCCAGGCCTTAGTTTGCCTACCCATGTCTTTGAAGGTTGGCTTGTAGAAACTGTCTATTTTGGGAGCTGATCAGGTACTCAGAGAAAAGTGAATAAAAATGTTGTAAAATACCACCATTAAGAAATATTTTTAAAGAAACAATGAAGTAAATAAGTAAGTGTAGGAGCTGCTTCACACAAATGGCTCACAGTATAGAGCTCATGAGGCTACATTTTATGTGGTAAGCACACCACTGCCAGCATCTACCCAGAACAGACCAACAAGTTTATAATTATTTTCCTACATAATGAATATAATTTTAATAAATTAATACAAACCCAAAGACTACATATGGTGTCTCTGAAATAGCACAAGTTGCAAAATTTGCTTCACTTAAAAGTTGACACAGACACTGGGTCAAAGCCCACGTCCTTCAAATATTAAGCTTCTGTTTGTTGAGCCTTTACAAATACACTCCAGCCCATTCGTGGCACCCTAGGCTCGTATGCAGGGCTACTGACAACAACATACAGACAGGTTCTGCCAGAGGTAGAATTTAGAACCAAGTAGTGAATTCAGCTACCTGGGAATCACAGCTTTAAATTTACAAGGCCTAGAAACATTTCTGCAAACTATACAAGATGAAGCAACAAAACCACCATTAAGCTCAGCCCAGATCCCAATGTGCACGACACTCAAATTTATTAAAGCTGAAGTGAAGTCACTCAAGTGCCTCATAATGCACCAAGAAGCATTTAAGCCACACAAATTAGTAACTGAAGGAGCATCATCTCAAAGTCAAGATTTGAGTTGAGCTGCCGCTACCTCAAATGACCAAAAACTCCTTTTGTGTCTTTTGGATGCCAAGTTATTATTCATTTTAGTAATATTTATTAAATTTGTATACTGCCCTATACCTGCAAGTCTCAGGGCGGTTACAACATAAAATCACAATATTAAAACACAAAATACAAAATGTTTTCAGGACGGTTGACAGTTGGAGGCATTACCCTGCCAGTTATCACATGTCGCAAGGCCATTTCAGCCCCACATTAACATGTTGTCAAAAGGGGCAAAGTGATTTGGTACACAGAAGACATCAGACTAACAATACTATGTTTAAACCAGCTGTAATATAGAGCTTTTATCTTACTTACATTCTGAAAGGCTAATAGCAGAGTTCTAATATAGTAGTCTGTTCTGACTTGCTCAGCTTCCTAAATGAAAAGGGAATTTTTGTGAATAGAGGGACAAAATTTTAGCTTAGTACCGACAGTAGTATTTTACTCACTCAAATCTAATTTAGTCCTAACAGCAGTATTGTATCCACTTAGGTTAATCTTTAAAAATAGCAGAATTCAGAATCACACCATTCATAGGAGCACATGAATGAATTTTGATTTGCTTCACTTGTTTTAAGTAAAACAATAACCAGAATTTAGGTTCTGTGCAAATGTAGCATTAACCATAACTAAAACTGGAAAAATTTTTGGGAAAGTCATATCTACACTGACACTAAGCCAGAGTGGTCAGCACTTGTGTGCTATAGTTCCTTTGCATAATGGGCTAGATCCAAGCAACCATGAGTGGAAGGAAAGTAACTGCTACTGTTGTTCCACAAGATCTTGGAAAAAGCTTGCACGGTGCTATCATAGGAGGTTTTTAATTCTCCTGTTTCTGATTCTCCAACGAGTGTGAGCTCTTGGACAAGCAGCCTGACTGTTAAGAGAACATTGCATGGGAAGTGAAACTGAATCTAAATCTTAAAAAAGCATAAAAGATCCCTCCTGTGAAACTTCTGCATCCAATCAAGTCGCCTGCCTGAGTCTTTCAGGTATTCTTTTGCACACATGTGCATAACTTGCCCTGCTTTTCTTCCTTATTGGTTTTCTCATTTCTATGACACTATTATAATAAACTAATAATAATAATAATAATAATAATAATAATAATAATCTATTATAATAAACTTATAATAAACTAAACAGAACCACATTCTCAGTATAAAAGGCCAGCTTTCTTCTATGGCAGTTGATTCAAATTTTGCTACTTATGCCTTACCATGGCTTTCTTAAAATTCCTTGCAACCTATAGGCTTCTGCCCTACTTTCCCAAACTCTACCATGAGTTAGGAGTAGTTCACCAATTCATAAAACACCAGCAGCATACCACTTGACTGCTTTTCCCCATTTTGCCCAATGAAAACTTTTTTCTGTAATAACGTTAGTTGATGTTTTAATTATTCAGTGGTCTCATTTGCGCATATACTAACCTATTGTTTAGTATTACAAGAATGGATGTGGGAAAGGAGTGGGTTTGCTCCTTGTCGCCTCTAGCATGTCTGCAATGAGGTCAGAAGCTTTAGTTGGCAGCTTTCAACTGGAATTGTTTCAGCAAATCATAGTAAAGACCAACCACAGTTTGTTGAGGCACTGACATACGCTATACTGTGGTTATGTAAAAACAAAAGCTCCTGATTTCTTCTTTGTAGATGTGTCAAATGAGAAGAGAGGGAGGACGTAAAACACCAAGGTGAGTCCAAGTTTATTCCTGTGGTTGTAAACCATGTCACCACTATGACCACAAAACCAATGCCTAGTTTGCCTTGTTTCAAAATGTTCCACATGCCAAGGGGAGAGACACAAATGTAAGCAAACTCTTCAAATTATTTCATATAAAAGAATATCAATTTGGCATCATTGAGGCTTATGGACCAGCATTCCCTCAGAATTAGAGCAATTCAATATACTGTAATTACAGTAAGCCCACAACTTAGCAGGGGTTACATTCCGGGAACCGCACCTCAAGCCAAAATCACGTATAGTAAAAACCATTGGGTTCAGTGATGGGCAGGATTGCCAAAGTCGTTCTTCCTTGAACTCTGCCCCCTTTGTAATTTTAATTTTTCCCACATACATAAAGCTGAATGAAAACAAGTTAAATACATGTGAGTTGCAGGCTTACTACAGTTAATATATACATTTCTTTAAAATGGAATTAGAACTTTTTTATTTTTTTAAAGCATCAATTAGTACTGCACTATCATTAACAAAATACTTACACAAGAAATATGAAATGGTCCAAAAGAAACACCTTCTTCCCCATACAGAGGCCAGTAACGTTCACATTTTTTCTGTTACCAAAGAAAATATAGTTACCAAAAATATAGTTTACAAATAAGCACACACATTTATGAATATTCACAGATAGTTGGATTTAAATGGGCAAGGTCACCCTTGCTAATACACCCAAGACCTTCATCTCCCTCTCAGGACTTTTTATGTGTTTCCTTTTAGAATCTGGAAGATCCATAGGAAAAACTGCTATTTGCTCTGTTCATGCACCCACACTGTGCAATTCCATTCGAAAACCATTTGTTTCTTTACACCTTCCTACACTAAACTTAACAGAGTGGCAAAAAAATGTGCTAGTTTTCATTAAGTAACAAATGTTCAAGATTTACATGGGAATTCCTCAAGTAAAATGAGTAACCTGTACAGAGATTTGATTAACTGCATTATCACCGTTACATATTTAGCAAAGGCCATATACAAGCCAGTGCTATTAATACATACCCTTCCCATTTCAAACTCCCGACAAGCCATCACAATAATCTATTAAAGAAAGAAAGAAATGTGACTGTACAAAGTTTCCAAGAATCTGTGCTTTAAAAGCCTTTCCAGGTGCATATTCATATACTGACTACAACTGAAGGAGTATACCGTCCAAGGACTTAGCAGCAGGCCAAACACTATATTATCCATGTGCCAGAGTTTAACAAAAGAGTGGATAAACTTCTGGGGGGGGGGGGTCAAGGACAACATTTGCCCTTGTGCCAATCCTCTGGGGACTGTATCAATGTTATATACCACCCACTTCTAAAATCAATCAATCTATCAATTAAGGATTTCATCATCATGCTGTTATGATAGTTGCATCAGCATTTCTGCATTTGTGCCTGCCATGTTCTCCTGACCCCACAGAGCCAATTCTGGGGAGGGGGAGAAGGTGGGGGGAAGCCCTGTTGCACGACAGGGACTCACAACTATTTAGCTGAAGCTAAATTTAGCTGTCCCCAAATTCATGCCCCATCCTTCTTCTAAAAGGAGCTTAGGGCAGCAAACAAATACAGTGGTACCTCGGGTTACATACGCTTCAGGTTACAGGCTCCGCTAACCCAGAAATAGTGCTTCAGGTTAAGAACTTTGCTTCAGGATGAGAACAGAAATCGTGCTCTGGCGGCGCGGTGGTAGCGGGAGGCCCCATTAGCTAAAGTGGTGCTTCAGGTTAAGAACAGTTTCAGGTTAAGGAACAGACCTCTGGAACGAATTAAGTACTTAACCCGAGGTACCACTCTAAGTGATAAAACAATAAAAAATCTTTTAAAATGTTTTAAAATTAAACCCTGCCTAAATAGGCTTGTATCCAAAGGAAACAATGGCAAGTTAACAAAACATGTATTGTGAAAATCACGTGATTTCAAATGTGACAACTTGCTGACAGCACAATCTCCTCTTTGAGGATGGGGCTTTTTGTTGAGTTGTTTATATGGATATCAATACAAGAGACCTGCTGAAGTGAAGCACAGGTGCTCCACCATTTAGTGAAGTCAGTCCTTGTTTCTTAATCCCTTCTCCCATTGTGAATTTAACAGCCACATGATCTGACAGTTCATGTTCCTCCTCTTCTGCTCAGACACTGTAGCTCAGGGATGTGGAGTATGTGGCCCTCCAGATGTGCTTAGATTACAACTCCCAGAACCTCTTACTACTGACCATCCATGCTGGCTGGAGGGCTGATGAGAGTTGGAACCCAACAATATCTGGAGGGTCATACATTCCCCGTCCCCAAGTTAGGCAAATGCATGCTGGCACAACAGACTTTGGCTGTACCCATTCAGCACATCACCAATCAAACTCTTATTGTCACGAAGACCCCTCTCCTCAAAGTAGGGGGGGTGTCAATGATCTCATATCACAACTTGGAACACAGCACGTCAGAGGAAAATCTACTCCACTTTCCATCCCTAAGCTTAGATTAGAGGATGAAACATAAAAGAAACTCTGGTTCCAAACTGCTCAGAACGAGAAGTAGGGGCAGAGGTTTGCTCACATCACAGAATGAAATAAATATTGGGTTAGCATACTTACTGCGACATTATACTCCCATATCATCCTCCAGAAGTCTATTACTGTGTTAGCTAGTGGTCCTTGGGTGGCAACATATGCTTTTGGCCCATGTACTCCCTAAAATTTCAACATATAACGGGATGCAAAAACAGTTAAAGGCATGCTTGAAACAGTTCTTAGACACAAACTCTCCCAAGGATGCTTCGACTATGGGTGTGTTGAAAAGGTTTTGCATTTTCAAAACTGATCTATTCAAAATGTCAACATGCTAATCTCTTCAAAAACATGAATGGAAATTTAAAAACTGATAACACCCAAGATAAACCCTACAGGATATATACCAATTTTACTCTACATTAGATAAGTAAACAGCAAATTCCAATACAAAAGTTTGCCGCTAATGCCCAAGTAACTGAATAACCAATAATAATATATATCCTCCAATGAATCTTGGTTACAAAATATTTGTGAAGTTTCCCCTTAGCTGCTCGCTCAACATACCTACAGTAACTGGGCCAAACATTCTTCTCTTTTTTTTCAAATGCTCTGCTATTTTTCTCCCCTTTGAGTATTTTGCTCAAAGTTAAACATCAGTTCAGGTCAGTGGCGTAGCGTGGGTTGTCAGCAAGGCAAGTAATTTGCGCCCCCTAACCCGTGGATTTGCGCCCCCTAACCCTAACCCCCAGATGTTATGCCCGGTGCGGCCGGGCCCCCCCTGCACCCCCCACGCTACGCCACTGGTTCAGGTGGTTGATAGGGAGAAGGGGAAAGAAATGCCACATCCAAAGGCATTAAATACTCCAAATCACAAGTCATTTCATAGTGATGCAGCAAGGAGATACCGAATTCTCCTTATGGGAGTGGGAGTGCAGGGATATTAAAAATGCAGTACTGTACTGCATTTTATTCACACCTCCAGGTAATCTTTTTTAGTCAAAAAATAATGCATGAAGTTTCATGCATTTGTAAGACCAAGAACAGAAATTAGCATCCGGTAATTATATACCTCAATAATTGTACCCTTGTGCTATTTTACATTACATTAAACTTTAAATTGGAAACAATCAAAAATTTGTTTTATTTTAATGTATTTATTTGGAATCCCTAGTTGCAGAAAGTGCACAGACCACATGGGCAAACTCGTTCAGCATAGGGTGTGCCCTCGTATCTGCCCTTTAGTAAGGCAGATGGCAATACATCAAATCTGGTAAGGGTAAACGCCCGCCTATATTTTGCGATTTGTAGGTCCAGCAAATATGGGGTTAGATTGAACCCTTTTCCATAATCTTGGATAGCTGGATATTTATCTATCTTGCTCATATGGTCCTGAAGCTCTACATCTCCTATTCGCTGGCTCACCATCATTTTAGCCTTTTCAAAACCTGAGGCTATGAGTTCTTGTGGGGAAAGCCCCAGGCCCCTCAATTTTTCATAAAGCGACAATCTCCATTTAGACTGGAACGGGTCTAGTAGAGTCAATGGAGCCACTCCCACTGGGAAAAATATGAGTTTTAGCCAGAAGTGAATCTTCAGGATCCATATCCTGGCATTAATAGGGAGTTGACCTACCTCCAGTCTAATGGCAGTGTTAGAGACACAGGTAGGTAACCCTAGTAGGGAACGATAAAATTTAGTTTGTACAGATTCCAGGGACTTGAGTTTTTGACAATTAAATATCTGGGTGCCATACATCAACTGTGGAAGTATTTTTGCAACAAAGACCTGGGAGGCAGCAGGAACATATTGACCTCCTTTTCTGTAAAAGAATCTTATGATAGCTCTGGAAGATCTTTGCGCATTTACAATGGAATTCTTAATCTGATGGCACCAAGATCCCTTCTCATCAAAAATTATTCCAAGATATCTAAAAGATGTTACTTGCTCAATAGGTTGGTTATTAATTTTCCATTTATGTCGGAGTTTTCTCTTGGAGAATACCATAATTTTTGATTTAGTGTAATTTATTATTAGGTGTTCAGCTTCGCAATACTCTGTAAGAGCTCGTAAAAGTTTTCTTAGACCCACACAAGAGAAGGAAATAAGTGCCGCATCATCTGCGTACAAAAGGACCGGGATTGGTGTATTATTTAGGTTTGGGGAATGAGTACTTGCTTCCTCCATCTTTCCGACTAAGGAGTTTATATAGAAGTTAAAAAGAATAGGGGCAAGAACACAGCCTTGCTTGACACCATGGAAACTTTGGATTTCCTTTGATAGGTTCCCATAGCGGTCGCATCTAACACGGATCCGAGTATTTTCATGTAGTCTACGGATAAGAAGCAAAAGACGTCCATCGATGTTTGTGACATTTAGTTTTTCCCAAAGTCTGTGCCGGGGTATCGAGTCGAAGGCTGATTTGAAATCTATAAAGGCTACATAGAGAGAGCCTCCTTTCTTTGAGGTGTATTTCTCCACTAGATGTTGCAATACCAATCCTTGGTCTAGAGTTGATCTATGTGCCCTGAAACCAGCCTGGGCTTCCTTTAGGATGTGCTCCTGTTCCAGCCAGTCCGCAAACTTTTCACGTAAGTGAGTTGCATAAAGTTTGCTGATGATGCTTAAGAGACTGATTGGTCTGTAATTGGCTGGATCAAGTTTACAGCCTTTCTTGAATATGGGAACGATGATTGCCAATCCCCAGTCCTCTGGTATTATTGCTGTTTGATCTATGCTGGTGAAAAGGGTGGCAAGGACTGGGGCCCACCAGTCAATATTGGCTTTGAGAAGTTCAGGAGAGATGTTATCTGCTCCCGGGGCTTTTCTGTGTTTGAGTGCCTGAATAAGCCTCCTAATCTCCGCGACCGACACCGGAGGCCACTCATCACCTGCCGCACACTGTATTAGTGGCTATGTCAAAGGCAGAGCTGAATATGAAGATTGGAAAAATGCCTCCCAAGTCCCTGCAGGTATAGTATACTCCACTTCTAAGGAAGTAGATCGCACTCAGAAGTGTTGAGTGTAGCACCATTCAGTACTTTTCAAGATAGCTCAGTCGGTAGAGCATGAGACCCTTAGTTCAAGCCCCATGTTGGGCAAAAGATTCCTGCATTGTTGGGGGTTGGACTAGATGACCCTCATGGTCTCTTCCAACTGTACAATTCTATGATTCTATGAAGACATTCACAAATAACAAGGACCACCGCACTATATTTTAAAAATCCAATGAGTTACAGGACTGCAAAACCCTTAATAAACGCCACATAGAATGCATAACTGAGAGAAACAATGGATTAAACCCAAACTAGTGTGAGCCAAAGAGTTAACTGATTAGCACTTTTTTTGTGAACTGCTGTGCAGGCAGGAAGGCAGACGGAAGACTTTGCACAGCATTTTATTTGGAGCCTCATCCTAGTATACAAAGAGATTATGTAACTCCATATCTGAATATAGGATTATGGAATTCCACATCGCAAAGCAAGCCAGAAAGAGGAACTATATGCACTCCACCCATCAAGGCTTGCTTTGTACAAGGGGCTTCATGATTTAAAGTGGCCATTCTTGCAAACCACAAGCACTTTGCAACACAGAACTCCAATGC